GTTCCTGATATGTTTTAACAAAAGTTCTGGCTTCTAACAATTTTTAAATAATTTTTGAAACTTAGCGCCAGCACCACACCACAGAGTAAAGTATCAGTTTACTGGCAGTTCCAGCCGACTTCTGGGTTTCTTTTAGTAGTTCTACAATAGTTCCAACGCTTTAAGTGGGTTTCGTCGCGGGTGCCGGCCTTTAACTATTTTTAAATAATTTTTGAAACTTTGAGCCAGCACCGCACCACGAGAGTAAAGTATCAGTTTGCTAGCAGTTCCAGCCTTCTTGGTCTCATTTAGTAATTTAGTCTGCCAGCAAACTGATACTTTACTCTTGTGATGCGGTATTGGCGTTAAGTTTCAAAAATTATTTAAAAATAGTTAAAGGCCGGCACCTGCGACGAAACCCACCTAAACCGTTGGAACTATTGTAGGACTACTAAAAGAAACCCAGAAGTCGGCTGGAACTGCCAGCAAACTGATACTTTACTCTTGTGCGGTGCTGGCGCTAAGTTTCAAAAATTATTTGAAAATAGTTTAAGGTCGGCACCCGCGACGAAACCCACCTAAATCGTTGGAACTATTGTAGGACTACTAAAAGAAACCCAGAAGTCGGCTGGAATTGCCAGCAAACTGATACTTTACTCTTGTGCGGTGCTGGCGCTAAGTTTCAAAAATTATTTAAAAATAGTTTAAGGCCGGCACTCGCGATGAAACTCACCTAAACCGTTGTAACTATTGTAGGACTACTAAAAGAAACCCAGAAGTCGGCTGGAACTGCCACCAAACTGATACTTTACTCTTGTGGTGCAGTACTAACGCTAAGTTTCAAAAATTATTTAAAAATAGTTAAAGGCCGGCACCCGCGACGAAATCCACCTAAATCATGGGAACTATTGTAGGACTATTAAAAGAAACCCAGAAGTCGGCTGGAACTGCCAGTAAACTGATACTTTACTCTGTGGTGTGGTGCTGGCGCTAAGTTTCAAAAATTATTTAAAAATTGTTAAAAGCCAGAACTTTTGCTAAAACATATCAGGAACTATAGAACTATTCTAGAACTATAAGATATCGTGCTTGAAATGGCTTTTTTGGAAATTGCGGTGCTACTGGAAGTTAGCACCTCATATTTTCAATCTGCCATTTTGTTAACTAATTCGGTGGAACCATTGATATAACCTATCAGGAACTGTAGAACTATTATCGGTGCCAATAGAACTATCGTTAAAACTTGCGGTGCTAAAAAATGAGGTGTCAACTTCACACCGGCATGATTAGCAAAGTAGTATAACTTATCCTTATGTAAAGATTGAAAGTAAATTCGGAATTATGGTCAACCTAACAGCAATTTTACTTGCGTACGCGCAAAACATCGCAAATTTTATTGAAGATAATCTTCAAACTTCATCGTTAGACGACGAAGAAAATATTTCATATGTTTTATCTTCATTTCCGTCAATTATCGTGTATTTTTTTAGTACCATCTTTTACACTTCTTGACAGCCATGCGTCATATGCATTAGTGAACCTCCGCTACCTCAGGATAACGTGTCGAATCAGCCGGAAGACAGTAATTCCCTAGGATCTATTTTCGCGAAGAAGGCAGTAAGTTTCGCTGCACCTTTCGCAGCATACCGAAGTACAGCCTACGTCAGCTCGTTAACGACTTTCGTTTTCCTCCCGCGCGCGGGTTACCGCATGCTCCCCCGGATTTCTTCTCAAGGCTCCCGTACGGCCGTGCTCGCCCCATGCGCACGACGCTCGCAGGCGACCGAAGGGTTTAACGTCGCGACGTGCGCTCGGACAAATCGGGGGACGTCCGCCGAGTCGAGCGCCGGAAATTCGGCGCCGTGGCCTAAGTCGCGAGCGCAACTACCACCGCCATCTCCACCTTCTCCTCCGCCGCTGCTACCATCACCGTCGTCGCGAGCGCCGTTCCCGCGCCGGTGCAACACGTACATGTATGCTCACGCACGTGTGCGTGAGCTTCCCGTACGCAGCAGCGGCGAGAGAGGCCCGCCGCCGGCACCGGTGAGCCGGCACTGGCGGCGGCAGCGGCGGCGGCAGTATGGGTGTAGGTGCGTGCTATCGACCGGGTATCCTGTGCCGCTGGACGGTGGCGGCGGTTGTGCCCCACCCTGCAGAGAGAGGAGTAGGGAGCAGCCCGAGAGCGAGCGAGCGAGCGAGAGACGTTTTCAAGCAGGCGAGAGCGCGCGTTGGACGAAGACGAGGAGCTCGATGGTGAGAGGGAGAGAGCGAGAGAGCGCGAGCGAGCGAGCGAGCGAGAGAGAGAAAGAGAGAGAGAGAGAGAGAGAGGAGAGAGAGAGATATCACAGTACGCAGAATGCCTCCTGCTTAGTGATAGCGTAGAGACTGTAGTGTTCACATCTCACACCACATACCACCATCAAAAATTCACATTTTCAACCGCGCGCGCTTCAAAGGAAAGTTCGATACATATATATGTATATATATATATGTATGTATATATGTATATATCCGCGTCACGTACGAATTAGTCGCTGTTCGACCACCACCGCACGCACATCGCACACGCACGTACTCCTGTGACAGATCATCCGACCGCACACAAACGTCTGTTGTATGTGTACAAATTATACATATGTACATTCGCCGCGCGTTCTTACACATACATACGCAGTCGGACGTAACGAGCGCGTATACACGCGTGCCAGCTCCCAAGATTGTACCTACGCGCGAACATACGTCTGTAGAGTTGCATACACGCGCACCGGCCAGCGAAGGGCGCGTCCGACTAGCAGGAAGAACAACCAGAGGAAGAAGAAGGAAGACAGGAGGAAGAATAGGAGTAGGTGCCGCCGAGTGACCACGAACGACTCCTCGGAGAGGAGGTACCGGTGCTCCTGTCCTCGCCCTTTCTCCCTCTCTCTCTCTCTCGCTCTCTCTCTCTCTCTCTCGCTCTCTCTCTCTCTCTCTCTCTCTCTCTCTCTCTCTCTCTCTCTCTCTCTCTCTCTCTCTCGCTCGTCGGCCGGCCGGCACCACCTGGTCATCGCCGGCCGGCCTGCTGCGTTTTCCTCCCCCGCAGTTATCACCGATAGGAATTACGTTGCTCCTCGCAGCCTCTTGTTTCCCCTGAGCCGCGCGCGTAGCTCCGGTTGCCAGTGGGATCTCAGTGAAGTGGTAGAGCTCGGTTTCTGGTGCGTCTCTCTCTCTCTCTCTCTCTCTCTCTCTCTCTCTCTCTCTCTCTCTCTCTCTCTCTCTCTCTCTCTCTCTCGCGTGCGCTCACACAGCCGTTGATCGATCTTCTCCGATCTCCTCCGATCTCTCTTCGTGAGAACGAGTCCTCGCGGCTTGTCCTCGTCATCTACGGGAGTTCCAGGAGAAGAGGGCGTTTCGTAAACGCGGGATGGTCTTCAAGCGGCGACTCGCATCGCCGGATAGGTACATGTCGAGTGTCTCGTCCTGTGCGTCCTGATGGATCTTGCAGGCAAGGCCCGGCATTTGGTTATCTTGCCAATTTGTGGGCTTTATCGCGTTGAAAAGCCGTCAGTGTGAGAAAACGCATCTCGAAGGGTCTTTGTCGCGAGATGTGCCTTGGAAAATCACGCGCTCTTCTTGCCAATTAGTACTCCCCATCCCGGGGGCGTCCTGCGAAACTACCCCCGGTGCTACATTGTTCGGCCGCCGCGAAGTCGGAGCTGAAACGTCACGGTGTGAGTCTGAAGCCCGAGATCGAAGCAGCGGGCGACAATCCGACGCTTTGATTTTCCCGTGATAATCCCACCGTGCTGATGTTTAACATGAGAGTCCCTGCGATGAATTGTTCGCACTGAAAGTCCGGTCGGAAAACTGCGCGCAATTCGGAATTTAAAGAGGAGTCCGGCGAGTCCTTCGCACTGACCAATGACGACGGGTTCAATTAAGCTCCGTTAAGCTCGCATCAAACTACCAACTCTTAGCGGCGACCAATCACAGCGAGCCAGGCGCTGATGGGCGGAAAAACACGTCGCACACGATATTCTGCGAAAATTTCTTGTTCATGTTGCGTATATTAGGCTGGCTCTACTAGTGAGTTTTAAGCCGTAGGAAATTGACTAATCGCAATTGGTTATTCTTCTCATATTCGACTGTGGTTGATCGTTCTCCTCAATACTTGTAGAGCTTATAAGCCTTATGGGTTTTCTACGATATCGTATACTTTGCGAGAATCCGAGCCTTGGAATCGAAAGGCGAGGCCGGCCGCAATCCAGTCGGCGTCTCACCGTGATTGATCCGCTAAGAGTCGCCGGTCGGCCCCCGCGAGAGTCCTCGGTAGTCCGATAGACCGGCTTGGGGCGCGTATGACTCGCCGGCACGGTTGGCTCTCGTCGCGCTCGGGCTGTATAATTGCATTTCAACGTGTGTGCGCGCTTCGAGCCCGTCAGGATAAAGTCCACTCGCTCGATATAGCACAGTCGTTGAACGCGAGTGTGTCCTAAGGGCGACGAGGGTTGCGTTTAGCGAGCACGCGCGCGCGCTTCGGGCTGCGGGTTTTCGTCCTCTCTCTTTGACGAGACCGCTCAGCTTTGGCGTCCCGAAAGAGGAGTAAGAGAACGGTCGGCCGAGTGCTCGGAGAAAGAGAGAGAGAGAGAGAGAGAGAGAATGTCACTCTTTTGAGATTTTCCCCCCGATGCCACGTACTCTCCTTCATCCCCTCTGTGCTCCTTTTACGTCGCGAGAAGTTGATACGAGCGCACAGAGGAAGACTGTTCACCTTGTCGCGATTTGAAAAAAGAAAAAAAGATAAAGAGATAGGACGCTCTTCTTTTATCACGATACTCTTAATTAACTTCCGCAAACTTGAAAATTATTTCTCGTCGGACACGCTTCACTCGTGATATCGCCTTGTGCGAGTCGCGCTGACAGAGAGAGACAGAGAGAAAGAGAGAGAGAGAGAGAGAGAGGAGGGAGGGAGAAGAGGAAGAGATAAATCGAGATTTCTTCCTCATCGAGTCTCGACGCGAATCGGCGCGTCGCGAGGTCGCCGGTTGCGGCTGAAGGTCACCGGTTCGCGTCGAAATTCTCACCCGGCCGGGCGATCACGCTCGAGCAGCGCTCGGCTTCGACTTCCACGAGCGCTGCCACGCGCTCCGTTTCTTGCCGGCTGACTTCGCTCGGCATTCGCGGAGGAGAGTGGTAATCAGCTGGTGCCGAGCGCGCGTTGCAGCCGTGAATTAGCGTGGCAACCGAGCTGGCGCGAGAGCACCAGCACCTACATTGCCGTCGGTGCACAGATCGCGAGGAGAAGGCGCGACCGGAAGTATTCCATTCGACGGGACGCATGCGGCAGTGTCTGAGCGATTTGAAGGAGCGAGACAGGTGAAGCTTTCGACGAGGGAAGACGACGAGAAGAGGAAGAGCGCGAGAAGAGAGTCGACGTGGAGGAGACACACGTGAGGAGCGACTAGGAAGGAAAGAGAGGAAAGGAGAGGTGTCTCTCGGCGGCCGCACGCGACCTTTGGCTCTCGGTCTACGCAAACGGAGGATATACCCCTCTAAGGACAACGTGATTGATATCGCGGAGGGATTCGCTATAGCGCGCGCGAATCAGGAAGCCGCCGCGGCAGCTCCGCGGAAACGACGAGCAAGTGCAGCAGCAGTGTCGCCGACCGGAAGTTTCAGCGCCGCTCGAAAGGGGAAAGGGTCAAAGGGCATCGAGTCATCCACGAGGACCTTACTACGACGACGACGACGACGACGGTGACGACTCTCCGTTCACGGCCGCGTTTCTTTCTTTCTTCGTCCCGCTCGCCCGTTCGTCTTCGCTCGGTCGTCGTCATTTTGTCGCGCCGGAAGCGTGCACTTGCTGCAGCGCTCGCGTCCGCTTCAGGGTCGTAACTTTTGATCCGTCTCGCGCGTGAAGGAAGAGCTTCTCTTTCTCTCGTCTAGTCTCGCTCTCTCGCTGTCGCGAGAGCGTGGTTGAGTCTCCGCATCAGCGAGAGCAGTCCTCGCTCCTGTCTTGACCTTCCTCCCGTTTGATCACTCTCTTTCTTGGCCCTCCTCCTCCTCCTCCTCCTCCTTCTCTTCCGCCTCGTCCTCTCTTCCTAGCTCCCCTCCGCTTTCCGTCCGTCTTCTTCTTCTTCGTCGTCTCCCTTTTGCTCCCGCTTTCGTTTGTCAGGGGCGTCGTCTCTTCTCGTCGTAGTCTTCGTCTTCGTTGCAGCGGACATGGGCGGATGTACTTCGAAGGATACCACGTCGGGCGACGAGTACGTATCCGTGAGAAAGTCTCTCTCTCTCTCTCCCCCCCCTCTCCCCCTCTATGTCTTTCGCATGATGTGAGAAGCGTACCTTTTTTTCTACCTCTTCGTTCCCCCCTCTATTCCCCGCATCATATTGTACATATTGGGCATATCATCATCGATACACTCGATATGTATGAAGTATATTCTTCATTTTGTCGCACTGTGCAGTGCGAACTGCTGACGCGGTTCAACCGGGATCTCGGAGATACAGTTGATTTTTTTTTTTTTACACTCCGAGCTGAGACACAGCGCGCTATGTGTTTGTTGTGCCGTCACAGCGCGAGCTGTCCCGATTGATCTCTCGTTCTTTTCTTTTTCCCCCCTCACTTTTCCCGACCTCTCCGTCTCGCTTGATCTAACGAAAAACTTGTGCCAGGCTGCTCCGTGTCTCGGGCTTATGACGGCCGGATGAGACTTTTACGACATATTCGGATGTGAGAGAGATAGCGCTTCGTTTCGTAGCGAACCGATCCGTCCGCCTGTCGGCTCTACCGCCTTCTATCTCCGCATGTTCACACGCACGTAGAGAGGATTTCGCATGTGCTGAGAGCTGTGCCTCTCTTCCGTCTCTGTCTCTCGTCCGGCTCGAATCGACGATTCGTCAGTGACGAGCGACAATCGGCGCGTACCTAATTGCTGCCTCTCACGACACGCGCGATGGGCGGCGTATGCGCGTCGCTGGGTATATGCGAGTCGGACGACACCAAGGTCGACGACGACGTGTACGTATCTCCGTACGATGTCCTCTTGACACTAGGATGCACTCCGAAAAACTGCGACAAAAGGTGCATTTGTCCCTTGAATTGTTGCGCGTCCGAGTATCCTCGCTCCTTGGATCAACATTCTCGTTGATCGTAAAAGATCGATCCAGCGTGAAACCGGAAGAGATCGTTCAGAAATTCGACTCAGGCTGGCCATTAAATAATTTTAGTCCAGAGTGTAGAAATTTTGTGTTATAATACATCTAAAAAAATTTATACGATCTCAGAATCTGCAAAATTGATTTAGATTCGATTTAACCGTTACTTTCTTTCTTGTATAATTCAAATCCGAAATATAAAAATCCCATATTAAGATAAGATCGGAAAGTTTGTACGTTTGATTAGCTTTAATTGCCAAAGATTAATCTCTCGTAGTCAAGAAAATTAATTTCATATAGCTGTGGTAACGAAATAATCTGAATCTGTGAAATGCGAAAATATTGCGTACAAGGAATTGTATGTACGGAAATTCTTACGTAATATTTGAATATTTCAATTTAATTTGGCTCGATTGATTTAAAAGTTCTTCCGAGAGAAAATGAAAGTGTCAATCGAACAGTGCATCCTAGAGTTAACAGGTAGACAAACGCACAGCACCGAAAGCCTTTGCACGAGGCACATGTGCAGCATCGAAAAAATAATTCTGTACCTTGGAAGAGCGAAAGGTTCGAGTCGCACTTCTTCGTTTACAAAAATCACAAAATTCTCCGATATCATTTTAATATCCTTTCGTCGCTGAAATAAAAAACGTAATTACCCGTCAACGTAACTGACGCGTTATTAGTACGTATCATTCTGTAAGTTACAAATTTGAAAAATTATACAATTGAGAACCGGAAAAGCGAATCACATTTGGTTCTCTCACCTAGAGATGGAAATGACTTAACCTTTTTTTTTTTTCTTTTGTAAATGACGATAAATCACCGGTAATTTTGGATTGTTCGGTAAAATGGTAATTTAAAAAAAAATTATAGAAACGAAAGAATTTTTATATAAAGCTCTAGAGGAAGGGGACTTCTACATAAGTAAAAGCTTCCGCTAACACACTAAAGGGAAAATTAAAAGTATTTTTATTATAATTTTCACAAAAAAAGAAAATTTAATGTGTGTCTGAACTTGCATTTTTATGGGAAGCAAGAAAGAAAAAAACGGAAACACATTTAACGCATTACATTAGAAATTATAAATTACTTTGTTTAAGTATGTAATAATGCAACTCCAACGGAAAAAAAAGTAAAACGTCATTCCATCTTTATTCTAGCTAATTAAATGTAAACTTGAACATAAAAATAGAATAGACTAATAGCACTGATATTTATCTGTTCTGTATAAATAATTGTATAAAAATAGTGGTTTAATAATGCCTATGGACGAAACTATAAGGAAAAAACGGGTTTTATAATATCACATAACACGATAAATCACAATTTTACCATAGTAAGTAATTTTTAAATCTGACGGTAATTTTCCATCTCTACTCTCGCCCATATATATGGTACAGAATTAAAACAAATATTCTATAATAAAGCAATGTTGCATCGCCGGAGAGAGCGTAAAAAAAGAAAAAGATCGGCAGAAACACTTGTCGCCGCAAGGAAAGATCATTCTAAGTTGAAACAATGACGACGATGATGAGAACAACGTCCTTAGTCAAGTTTAATCCTGACTGTTCGGATCAACACGGGGGGCAGATGTTCCCTCGAGTACCTCGCACTCGCAATTAAGTACCTCACGAACTTTTAATTAAGTACCTCACGAAAGAACGCAATTGCAGCTGGCTCTCTTGAAACACACGTTCCTGCGGGGTAGTGTGCCCTTTCGTTTAATGTTGTTCGTATCTTTGTGTATTCGCATCTTGAATGTTTTGCACACGTTTGCAGAGGGTTGGGAAAATTGCTCTTTAAATAATTCGTTATCCGTTGGAACGAGTAACTTGTTTTACTGTTATCCATTGTGAAAAATTTATTTATTTAATTAGGAGAATCATCTTTTTTTAGTGTAATAAATTAATAATCTAAATAAGGGAAATTGTAAGAAAAAAGCATGAAAAATTATTGAAATAAGGAAAGATGTAAGAAAACAAAATCTTTTATAGCACAAGGTTATAAATTCGAGACATTCGACTCTTAAAATGGCTGATAAAGAGAGATGATGATTCATATTATTATCGTTACTCAAGAAGCAACGAATCGTTAGAACTTCTGATACATTTTGCAATAAATTCTGGAAATTTCTACAATACATTTCTACCTGTTCCATCATATGTGTACAAGGTATAGTGATAAAAATAATATCTATTTGTTACTAAAATGAAAACCAACTGAAAATACAGTTGCACTACTGTTACTATTGTTGAAGAAAAAGAAGGAAAGAAACTCCATTACCAGACTGTTATTGAAAAATGTAACGTGCAATGACGATCAATGGCAATAATGTCACAAGTAACGCTTTACTTCCCAATCCTAGTTCTGCATACAAGGTGTTCCACAATTCTCACGGCCTCATATAATAATTCTAGCGAAGAGATACAAGCGATCGGGAAAAAGTGAGTTTCTTCGCAAACTTCGGGCGAGCAAATAGATAACAAAGTCATTTCCTTTAATTAACCTTCGATAAGTGAACTTTAATCCTTTGTGTGGCAGTGGTAAATATACTTACCTTTTTCTCTTTTATTTTCATGATATACTGTTAACAGTTTAATGAAAATAAGTATGATCCTACATTTTTCTGATGTGCTAATACTTGCTTTACATGTCTCCTATTTTTATATTTGATGTACATTTTTAATTATTTATAAATAAAGCTGAAAAAAGTGATTAAAGAAAGTTTAACTTCTTAGAACCTATTATGTAAAATTACAGTCTGAAAATTTTATATTGAATATTCTTCACGTGCTAAGATACAATATATATTTTTCCCAGAATTTTTCGTGCACTAGTTTTCTTATAAACTAATTATTTGGACGAATTTTGTAAATCTGACACGAAATTCGTAATTAACGATCTGAAAAATCTCTATATCGTGTACCTGATTTACATTTATTCAGACTTACACTAATTTATTCTTCTATAGGGCAGTCATATTGAATGTGTCATTTTATATCTTTAAAATCTGACTTTAGATTTGTAATCAGCAACCTACAAAACATAAAAATGCAAAATTTCACAGAAATTCGTCAAGTAAAAAAAAATGCCACACAAATGGGTTAATAGAATTTTAATACTACTTAACTGTACATATATTATATAAAGATATGTTGAAAATTGAAAAGTCGCCGTATAAATGATAATCTTCGAAAATTTATTTTTAAGTTTGTCCAGGCGACCTCCCGGTAAAGCGAAGACCGCGAGCTCTGGGACATCCTGTATAATAAACTTGTGTACAAGCTGAATTGAATTTCAAGATGAAAAGTAACTCCGAGTTATTCACCTGATCAATTTTTCATTCTTATTACAGTAAAAAGAGCAACAATATGGTGGACGCAGCTGTTTTGGACAAACTGGAGTCTGGCTTCGCCAAGCTGGCTGAATCCGACAGCAAGTCGCTGTTGAAGAAACATCTGACGAAGGAGATATTTGATCAGCTGAAGACACGCAAGACGTCGTTCGGCTCCACGTTGCTTGACGTGATCCAGTCCGGCCTGGAGAACCACGACTCCGGCGTGGGCATTTACGCACCCGACGCCGAGGCTTACACAATCTTTGCTGAACTTTTCGACCCGATTATCGATGACTACCACGGCGGCTTTAAAAAAACCGACAAGCATCCGCCCAAGGACTTCGGCGACGTTGACTCCTTCGGCAACCTTGATCCTACTGTAAGTATCAGCGACTTTCTTTGAACGTCGGTAAATCAGTGTATTAAAACGAAATAATTATTTATGAATTTAATTACTCAGCCTTGTGCTCTGTAACTGTATCAATGTCACCTTTTCGATATCTCTTTGTGAATGTAGGTTTGTTCACATCCTAGTTAGATCTAAGCATTTGGCTATCGTTTCGCTCTTCAGGTATGCTCTCTTGAGATTGTAATTCATCATACAGAGTGGCTTAAAAGTTAATTATCATTTCCAATTTCCTAGAGTTCTGATAGAGTCTGCAGAAAGAGTTCCAAATAAATATTGACTATAAACGAAATTATAGGACGTATAAATTTGCCACGGCTGTATTGAGTCTAGATTAATTTTCTTAATTTTTCAAGATTAGTTTTTTTATAATTGAGATTAATCAGATGTACAAATTTTATATTTTAATACGAGCTTTTCATATTGCAGATTTAGATTATGCAATTACTGGTTGAATAAAATATAAACTAATGTTCTCGATTATGAATGCTTTTGAATAAATAACCGACTTTTGGATCTCTCTCTCTCTCTCTCTCTCTCTCTCTCTCTCTCTCTCTCTCTCTCCTCTCTCTCTCTCTCCTCTCTCTCTCTCCTCTCTCTCTCTCCTCTCTCTCTCTCTCCTCTCTCTCTCCTCTCTCCTCTCTCTCTCTCCTCTCTCTCTCTCTCTCTCTCTCTCCTCTCTCTCTCCTCTCTCTCTCCTCTCTCTCTCTCCTCTCTCTCTCTCCTCTCTCTCTCTCTCTCTCTCTCTACACATATATATATATATAACTCTTGATGATATTAAATACTTCTGTGAATAAAGAATATCGTAATTATCACAGGATAACAATATTAATCATCGCCGTCTAAAGATGAATTTTTCTTGGTGTGTTATCGTTTTAATAATCTATCATTTTCCAGGGCGAATATATCGTCTCGACTCGAGTAAGATGCGGCCGCTCTTTAGACGGATATCCGTTCAACCCATGTCTGACCGAGGCGCAGTACAAGGAGATGGAAGAGAAGGTATCCAGCACGCTGTCCGGCTTGGGCGGCGAGCTGAAGGGTACCTTTTACCCACTCACCGGCATGAGCAAGGAAGTACAGCAAAAGCTGATTGACGACCACTTCCTCTTCAAGGAGGGTGATCGTTTCCTGCAGACTGCCAATGCCTGCCGCTTCTGGCCAACCGGGCGCGGAATTTTCCACAACGACGACAAGACCTTCTTGGTGTGGTGCAACGAAGAGGATCATCTCCGTATCATCTCCATGCAGATGGGCGGTGATCTCGGTCAGGTAATGAGAACACAGCTATCATCTTAATTCGGGTTTAGTTAATGTTTAAGGCTCCTGGTATCTTGTCGTCGGTCATCCTAGATATTGTAACATCAGGAGTCAGAGAATTCACAAATGTATGTCAAAATTCTTACGTTGAAATCAAAAGATATGCTCATAAAGATACTTGCGATGACTTGAGTAGACTTGTAAAATACTTTGGAGGTTTTCTCCTTGTATGAAAGATCAATAAATCACCATTATGCAACGTAAAACATCACGTTATGTAATGTTGCATAATCTATTTTTTAAGTACCTAATTTTGCCAAGTTATTTAATCGTTCTTGCTATTTAGCTAAGGCGAAATACGAGATTGTCGAAATGTCCATTCATTATTTTACAAATCTTTGCCGAATCGTTTATGTCATTTTATCGATACATCTTTTTATCTCAATGTGCCTTATAAAATTTCTCATGTATCTATTCCCTCATATCTGAAGTCGTCATCTGAAGGTGCAATTTGCTGTGGACACTTCAAAATATTTTATCCACACGATAATGTCATTGATTCGCGCATATAAAAGGACATTTCGAAACGATACGAGGCGTCCAATAGGTTGCACCTTTTGCGAGCTATCGCGACGAAACGGGAGCCTCATTAATTAATCATCCGCTGACCTTCCTATGTGTTTCCACCAGGTATACCGTCGTCTGGTGACTGCCGTGAACGAGATAGAGAAACGGCTGCCATTTTCCCACAACGATCGCTTCGGCTTCCTCACGTTCTGCCCGACGAATTTGGGCACGACAGTCCGTGCATCCGTGCACATCAAAGTGCCGAAGCTCGCTGCCAACAAGGCCAAGCTCGAAGAGGTCGCGGCCAAGTACAATCTCCAGGTGCGCGGCACTCGCGGTGAGCACACTGAGGCCGAGGGCGGAATCTACGACATCTCCAACAAGCGGCGCCTCGGTCTCACCGAGTACCAGGCTGTGAAAGAGATGAACGACGGTATCGCTGAGCTCATCAAGCTCGAGGCCAGCCTCTAAGCAACACCATGTCGCCCGTCCCCAATCCACTACCTCCCTTGAAAATCCCCTCTGCTCCCTCCTTCGTCCCCGACATGTATTATTATTCGTTTCCTAAAAACAGAAAAAAAGCATTAGCCTCGTCGTCTCGGACGTCACATGTCTGTCTATTTGTGTGTGTGTGAGAGAGAGAGAGAGAGTGTGTGTGACGTCATGTTCGAAACATACGCCCTCCCTAGAACCGCGCGCGAAAATAACTGAAGACTGTTCGGGTCTTTCAGGCGTGAGAGAAAGGAGAGAAAGTAGTTTGTTATTATCGCACTGTATCTTTGAATAATTTTTTTTATCAGTTTCGTTCTGTTCGTTTTTTTACTATTCTTTTTCTTCGTTTTTTGTTTCCCTTCCCCTTCTCTTTTTCCCTCGGTAATTCTTACGAACACGTTTCCAGGGGTAAAAATGTGTTCCTTCGCTCTCGTTTCGTTTTCTCTTTTCTTTCCCTTCTTACGTCTTATGTCGTTATGCGTTTACCCACGTTAGTTAGTCGGAAAGAATAGTCGTACGTTCAACATGTGTAGTGCTCTAACACTTTAGTCCTCACGAAATTCGTCGCGCTTGTCTATTAGATGAGAGATTATAAAGAGAGAGAGAGAGAGAGAGAGAGAGAGAGAGAGAGAGAGAGAGAGAGAGAGAGAGAGAGAACACGGAGGACTAACAAAGTCGTTACTCGAACGGTTCATTTGCGACGATGACGATTACTACCACAACTACCAGGTCTATTACGATGACGATAACAACGACGAAAGAAATGAAGAAGAAGAACAGAAGAAGACGGTCGTTGATCGAGAGGATTGCGAGGCAGAGCAGGCGGATTCGTAGCTTGCGATCTTTTTACGGAACCGAGCGGGGGTCGAGAGCGCGGTTTTTCGGCGCTCGACGGCGGTTTTCTAGTCCGGTGAGAACGGTGTGTGGAGAGCAACGATTCAGCATTTTTTCATTCTCTTTTTTACTGTGTGACGAGAGGCCATGAGAGAGGAACATCTGCGACGGATATAATACGACGCGCACTACTACTACTACTATTACACACGCAGAAAAAAACGTTCAAGGCAGAGTTTAAAAGCTACTGCGACGATATATTAGAGACAGCATGTACCACAGCCGGTTCGACAAACCAAATGTACGAGAAAATACAAGTATCGAGACACGAATAAAAAGACATACACACATTATGTATATCGTAGCCTCTGCGACTCATTTCGCCCTGCCCGATTTATTCTGTTGGAGATCATTCAGTTCGAATTCATGTTGCGCTACGAAAAAGCACGCTCTATATGCGACCGGGATTTTATAAGATTGCCGCGAATACTTCATCCGTGTGAATCGATGACAGACGTAAAATAGAAAAAAATTTGTATTCTGAATTTTAAATAATGCTGCTCGAATGAGAACCTTCAACAATATTGAGCATTAATGAATTGAAATTTGAGTTGACTAAAATGATGAAAATTTAATATCGAGAAAATTGTGATTACATCTCTCTCCAATGATTGGTTTTAGACCTTTTTGACTATTTTGATTTGATTGATTATATGTTGGTTGGTAATTTCATCGATTAAATTATTCACAATTATAAATATGAAAATTGATTAAATTTGATTACAGATTTGCTTATTGTTTACCCAATTATGATTCTTATCGACTAATACTAAACTCTAACCTTTGAAAACACCGGCAGTTCACAGCGAATTTTTGTTCTGAGCGCACATATATGCCATAAATTACGGTGAATGTCTCACGCTGAGCCCAAAATCGTTTTTTAATTAGTTTACACAAGAGATTCATTTTGGATGCAGAATACGTTGCAAGATTTGTCAACGAAAAATGTTGCATCTTTCAACCAGCTGTATATACTTCACAAATTTGCCGTCTTCACGTCTTATTTGACAACAAAAAGAAAAATCTGTCAATATATTAGGCCATTAAGTATGAAATGTCTGATTTCGAATTAAAAGTTTGGTTTATTGTATCTCAAACTAGAAATAATACCATTAATCAAAGTATGCGCTTAAATTATCGATAGTTTTGCCATCTCAATAGTAACTTATTTATGCCAGCAATGAAGAAGCCTGAAGAGCGGATGACGATGAAATCGCGGAAGGTGTTTACCACAACTTGTTGAGAATTGAATATTTTCCCTTGCAAGAAGTGGCCCAGTGCCTAGAAGAAGTCGTAGTCAGTTAGTGCAAGTTCTGACAAATACGGTAGATGACGGAGTTTCCAAGTCTAGCTTCTGTTGTTTGAGCAATGTTGTTTATGCAACATACGGTCGTGCGTTGTCTTGCAAGAAGATTGTCTCTATTGATCAACCTCGGCTGATTAATCGCAAGCATGCTCATCACTTCGTCCAGTTACAGTAGACATCCGCTGTAATCGATTCAATAAGTTTTATGAAGTTGTAGTGGATAATACCAGCGCTGGACCATCAAACAGACACCATTAGCCTTCTTTTGCGAATATTCGGTTTCGGACTATGTTTCAGCACTTCATCTATATGCAACAATTGCGCCGAACGTTTGCGATTGTCGAAAAGAATCTATTTTTCATCACACGGAGCAATACGATGTAAAAATGATTCGCCTTTATATCGTGATAATAAAGAAAAGCAAGTTTCGAGACGATTTCTCTTCTGATGCTCGTTTAATTCATGCGGAACCTATCTATCCACCTTCCTTACTTTGCCGATTTGTTTAAAATGATTCAATATTATTGAAATAATAACGTTAAATCTTGCTGCTAATTCACACGTAGTTTGGGACGTATCCACTTCCACTACAACTTCCAACTCATCATTATTCACCTTGGTCTCGGATCGCCTACGTGGCTCATTTCCAAGATTAAAATCGCCAGAACGAAACTTCTCAAATCATCGATGTACTATGCGTTCACTAGTCATATCTTCGCCAAACACTTCGTTGATATTTCGAGTTGTCTGCGCTGCATTGGTTCCACGACAGAACTCGTATTCGAAAATAACACGAACTTTTGACTTATCCATGGTTACATAAAAATTGCTATAACAAAAACAACTCGAAAGATAATTACGACCCAAAACATGAATTTGAAAAGTGATGATGTACCTACGAAAAAAAAACCAAGAACTGTAAAAGTGAAATGTCCGAAATATCGACTGTCGAACTTAGTACTTAAGGAAATCGGACATTTAACGACCTTTTATTAGATGTACAACTTTGCTTCCGCCGTTTTTTTTTTCCGAAATTCGAGGCTTTATTGTAAAAAACTGGTTATATATTTATGATTCAAAGTATTGTCCATCGCTGGCCACTACTTTCTCCCATCTTTCGAGCAGCGTACGAATCCCGCGTTGAAAAAACTGGTCATCTTTTGAAGCGATCCACGAATCGATCCAATTTTTTACTTCTTCATAAGACCGGAAGTGCTGGTCAACCAGGCCGTGTGCCATTGATCGAAACAAGTGATAGTCAGAGGGAGCAACGTCTGGAGAATACGGCGGGTGGGGTAGGACTTCCCATTTCAACGTTTCCAAGTATGTCTTGACCACTTTCGCAACATGGGGTCGAGCATTATCATGCTGCAAAATCACTTTATCGTGTCTCTCGTTGTATTACAGTCGTTTGTCTTTCAATGCTCGACTCAAACGCATTAATTGCGTTCGATAACGATCGCCTGTGATTGTTTCAGTCAGCTTTAACAGCTCATGATACACTACTCTGAGCTGGTCCCACCAAATACAGAACATAACCTTGGAGCCGTGAATATTCGGTTTGGCCGTCGACGTGGAAGCATGGCACGGGAGATGCCCATGATTTTCTGCGCTTGGGGTTATCGTAATGGACCCATTTTTCGTCCACAGTCACAATGCGATGCAGAAATCCCTTCCGTCTTTGCTTTTCAAGCAACTGTTCACAAGCAAACAAACGCCGTTCATTCTCTCGGTTTCAACTCGTACGGCACCCAATTTCTTTGCTCCTGAATCATTCCCATGTCTTTGAGGCGTTTTGAAATTGCTTGTTGAGTCACTCCCAATGATCGTGCCAATTCTTCTTGACTTTGACATGAGTCTTCATTAAGTATTGTCTCCAATTCTGCATCTTAGAAAACCTTCTCTCTTCCACCGCTATGCCGGTCTTCGACGTGAAAATCACCGTTCTTGAAGCGTTGAAACCACTCACGACACGTTCTTTCACTAATAGCGGCCTCACCATAAGTATTTGAGAGCATTCGATGAGTCGCAGCCGCAGATTTCTTCATATTGAAGCAGAAAATTAAAACCTCCCGCAAATGACGAGAATTTGGCTCGTAAACTGACATTTTCAATTGAGAATAACTTTATGATGCAGACACAAATCGACTAATGTTTCTATGGGGTTATGTTGACAGATGCCCAAGTTTATTGCATGACGTTTATGATCTATTTATTTCGACCACTACTTACTGTTAAAGCCATCTATAGGAAAACGGCGGAAGCAAAGTTGTACACCTAATATATGTATATGTATTGCGTAAAACACATATATTAGATGTGTGAATTAATTCGGTCCGTTTTTTCTTCCAAAAAAATACTTTAGTATGAAAAAACATGAAAAAGTACACTAATCAAAATATTTGCCATCGCTTGCTATTATTTTTTCCCATCTGTCTGGCAGTTGTTGCATTCCGTGACGGAAAAACGACTCGTCCTTCAAAGCGATCTATTCATTGAGCCATTTCTCTATTTCTTCATAATTGTTGAAGCGCTGGTCCGAAAGCCCGTGTGCCATCGATCTGAACAAGTGATAATCGGATGGAGCAATGTCTGGTGAATACGGCGGATGAGGTAAAACGTCCTAGCCAAGTGCTTCCAAGGTGGCCTTCACAATCTTTCCAACATATGGCCGAGTGTTATCGTGCTGGAAGATCACTTTATCTCTTTGCATATTCCGGCCACTTATTCTTCAATGCGTTGTTTAAACGGATCAATTGTTATTAGTAAAGTTCGGCAATAATGATTTGGCTCTGTTTTAATAGTTTATAATATACTACACCCTTCTGGCCTCACTATATACAGAGCATTACTTTCTTGCCGTGAATATATTCCGCTTTGGTATCGATGTGGATGGTTGTTCTGGGTCGCCAATGGATTTCCTTCGTTTGGGATTATCGAAATATATCCACTTTTCGTCTCCAGTCACAATACGATGCAAAAAACCTTTTCTTTTTTGCCTGGCAAGCAAGATTTCAGACATGGCTTTTCGCTTCTCGATGTCTCTTTTTTCAATTCTTTCGTATGGCCAGGGTTGGGAAGTAACGCGTTACTTGTAACGCCGTTACTGATATCGTTACTTTTTTGAGTAACGATTAGGTAACGCCGTTACTTTTTGGTGTCAGTAACAAAAAAGTAACGGCGATACATTTTTTTTGTAACGAGTAACAAAACGTCCGTTACTTTAATCGTTACTTTTTAATTTTTATAAAATTAAACTTAATTGTATTTAATTTCTATGCATTTTTTGTTTTATGCTGAATTTAATGAGAATCAATAAAGATGGACTCACATATTGTCATCCATTGGCCGTAGCTATACAGAAAGGTTTAAAAGAAAGGTAAGTTGGTGTAATTTGGTTAATACATATGTTCATCAAACAACATTCATCTGATCAAAAAGAAAAATCAATATGTTTATATTTAATTTTATTGATTTAACTTTAGGTTTTGTACTACACTCGAAAAAGAATTGATAATTGCCAGCTGTTTGCATCCCAAATTGAGTTGGTTAGCTGAAGATAAGAAAACTTGCGCAAACGTATTTAGAAGATTTATAAGGAATTCCTTCAATTAAAAATTTTTTGTTGTCTGATAAGCACAATAATAACGATGACTTTTTAAATTTTAAATAGCAAACATCAAATGAGAAATCTGCCTATGATTAATGGCAAAGATTTTTAAAGTCAACAGGCACTAATGTCCAAATATTAAATTCATATCCACTAATTAAGAAACTATTCATTAAGTACAATACTTAATAACATAAAATAATAAAAATATTTAAATATATATGTATATATATATATTTCTAATCGTCTTATGTCCGATTTATATCTTGTCTTAGCACCTTTCTTATAATCCTGAATTTACAACAAAAAAAAGTAACGGAAAGTAACGAAATAAAATATCGTTACTTTCAAGTAACGGTAACGCGTTATTTTTTAAGATCAGTAACGAGTAACGGTAACGAGTTACTTTTTACCGAAAGTAATGGTAACGGTAACAAGTTACTTTTAAAAAGTAACTTTCCCAACCCTGCGTATGGCACCCATTTTTCTTGTTTGTAAATCTTTCCCATGGTTGTCAAACGCACAGAAATTGTTGGTCGATCAACATTCAACAATTGCGCGAGCTCATGTTGCGATTGACACGGATCTTCATCGATTAGTGCCTGCAATTCCTCGTCCTCGAACTTCTTCGGCTGACCTGGACAAGATTTGTCATGGACACTGAAATCATCACTTTTGAAACGTCGAAACCATTCTCTGCATGATTTATCGGTGGGAGCACTTTCACCATAAGCTTCTACGAGCATTCGATGAGCTTCAGCAGCTGTTTTCTTCAAATGAAAAAAGAGAATGAGAACTTCCCGGAAATGATGCTTTTTTGGCTCGAATTTCGACATTTTCGAGTCAGATAAACACGATGTTATTGTTACAAACCCAAACGTTTATCAACTGAATATTATTGCCAGATATCAAAACTAAAAAATAAAGCCTTTTGCAGACATTAGAGGTTAGAAAATTACATAGTACAGCAATTGACCGCCAGATGAACCGAATTAATTCACACACCTAATACATGGGTGCACATACGCTATAAAATATACAATTCTCTTGCATAATAAATCTCTCTTATATTAATATTTATATAACATGTAGGCTCTTGTCAGGATGAGCAAGTATACACTTTGAGCTTCGTAAAACGGTTTCTTTATTGTTTTCGCCCGCCTCGCAGCTCTTCTTCTCAATCTCTTTTCCTTCACTGCTCCACGCATGCCCGCGTGCCACGCCTTTTTACTTTTTTCACAGCGCCACGCATGCACGCACGCTCGCTCGGTAACGCGGGAAAACAAAAAAAACATCTCCGAACTACTGTTCGCCTACAAACATAATATATTTATACATTTTGACACACATGAGTCGTAATTCGTTTCTGGTAACATCTTGGGAAGATTGTATAGCGTTCTATATTATTTAGTCATTGGCTGACCGGACGGTCTGTCTATATTCGGAAGACAGCTCAAACACGCAAGAAGATAACAAAAGAAACAAGATATAAAGATATAAGATACATAAGATAATAGTCACGTTTCCGTTAAGATCGCCAATTAATATTTTGCGATTTGGGCAGACGGGGAAAGTAAAGTAATTTTTAGACAATAGAGAGCTTCGCGAGATCGAACTTACCGAATACAAAAGTCTCGATCACCCCTCTGCGATTGTAAACTTTGTGCTAGTTATCATTACATAAACGTATTAAAAAAATATAGTAAAATACTTTAAAACAACATATATACCGTATAAAGTGAGTATGTATAGAAACTATTAACGTTGAAGAAGTATTTAAGTTCTTAGTTACAATATTGGTTAATCCTACAGTTAAGACTCTTGATTCCTTGCTGCGGAACTTCTGATCGAAGACATCATAAGCGAGAAACATATACTCAAAATTCTTGCGTATTATTTCAAGATAAGAAAGATACTTGTATGAAGAAATACTTCAGGTCGCTAGAGCATACTTGTAAAACGTTCCGAACATTATGTTTCTTCTTTGATAATTAATCAACAAGCATAAAATGACTAATATATGGTTGGTCATACGAAATGATTGCGTGTGCGCATAATTAGGTCCCATATTACATTTTATAGCGTCGATCGACTATCAAAGCGTATAGCGTTTGATGTATTTTATAAATATGCTTTTGGAATCTGAAATATTTTTCCACACGCATATATAAATATCTTTTGAGATACTTATTTTATTTAAGATTTTTATTTTATTTATAAATGTGATACGGAAGAATTTCTCGCCTCTGATGTCACTGTCCAATATGGCCACGGCGAGAATATGTAGGGGCCTCAATGATTAGTAAAATTCTTGAATAGGCGCATTATCACATAGTTAATCGTATGACGTATTTAAATATCTGCTTTTTAAATGATTAAACACGCTTATCGCATAGCATACTTAAATATTTTTTTTTATAGTGCTTTTAAAGGCGCTTAAACTTGCGAATGTTCAATAGGATTCCCTGATATCAAAAGACACAAACTTCGACGGTAAGCTAGCAATCTGCATTAAACCCACTGCGATTCTCAAAATACATAAAGTCCTGAAAGAGAAAACGAAGATATTAAGATGATATTAGGATAGAGATTATTTAAAAAGCTAAAAATTAACATTGTTTAAAGAATCAAAAATTATTAAAGAATACTTAAAAAATTAATTGTAGTTAAAGAGATCAGAATGTTTCAGAGTCTTGGTTAATATTCATGCGTTGACGTGATACTTACTAATAAAAAACATGCTCCCAATAATACGGCTTTTATCTTCACGTCAAGGTCTTGCGGGAACTGTACGCCAAACTGATCGCAGTCTGTAAAGATCTCTCGACCGAAGCCGCTCCAGTGTTTCTGAATAACGCCGACATTGTGTTTTTCGTCCAAAGATTTCACCTGTAAAATATTCAGCGAATGACTCGTATTATCTTAATCCTTTATTACCCTGTTTCCTCCTTACTCTTAAAAATATTGACATAACAGGAAAACATCAAGTATTGACTAGACTATGGGATATACAGGGTGTCCCATTTAACCTGACAAATCGTAATATCTGGAAAACTACATGTCAGATAAAAAAAAGTGGGTAATGAAATTTGTTCATCTCGAAGGGGGACATCCAATGATATCAAACTCGACCTCCCACCCCACTCCCGGGGGGTGAGGGTGGGGGACAACTTTGAAATCTTAAATGGGAACCCTCATTTTTTATTGCAGATTCGGATTCTACGCCACAAAATACGTAAGTTTCGTCTGAAACTTTTTTTTGATTCGTGATAGATGGCGCTGTAATCGCAAAAAATTAAATTTTCTGCAATTCTCCAGAAATGATCATTGGATTGAAAAATAAAAAAATACCTGTTCAATATTTTTAAAAATATTTTTAAAAAACATAATAACAGTTATTCCCCCATCCCCTCGGGGTAGGGTGGGTGGTAACGTTCAAATCTCAAATGAGAACCCACATTTTTCATTGCAGAATTAGATTTTACGTGAAGTTTTTATGGAAACAATTTTTTTCATTCGTGATAGATAGCGTTGAATTTTTCCGAGAAACTACTTTTAGCGTTACCTAGGAACAACGACGAGGACGTAGTAGCTTTCTGTTCCCTTCGGGGTGCTTGTTTTAGGTGAGTCCACTCGCCTCTCACCATCGGGGGACTCACCTAAAACAAGCACCCCGATGGTAAGAGGCGAGGGGACTCATCTAAAACAAGCATCCCGATGGTGAGAGGCGAGGGGACTCACCTAAAACAAGCACCCCGATGGTGAGAGGTGAGGGGACTCACCTAAAACAAGCACCCCGAAGGGAACAGAAAGCTACTACGTCCTCGTGGTTATTCCTGAGTAACGCTAAAAGTAGTTTCTCGGAAAAATTCAACGCTATCTATCACGAATGAAAAAAATTGTTTCCATAAAAACTTCACGTAAAATCTAATTCTGCAATGAAAAATATGGGTTCTCATTTGAGATTTGAATGTTACCACCCACCCTACCCCGAGGGGATGAGGGGAATAACTGTTATTATGTTTTTTAAAAATATTTTTAAAAATATTGAACAGATATTTTTTTATTTTTTAATCCAATGATCATTTCTGGAGAATTGCAGAAAATTTAATTTTTTGCGATTACAGCGCCATCTATCACGAATCAAAAAAAAGTTTCGGACGAAACTTACGTATTTTGTGGCGTAGAATCCGAATCTGCAATAAAAAATGGGGGTTCCCATTTAAGATTTCAAAGTTGTCCCCCACCCTCACCCTCCGGGAGTGGGGTGGGAGGTCGAGTTTGATATCATTAGATGTCCCCCTTCGAGACGAACAAATTTCATTACCCACTTTTTTTTATCCGACATGTAGTTTTCCAGATATTACGATTTGTCAGGTGGGACACCTTGTATATGGTACATACAGGATGTATAAAAAGTATCGGGACAGTGAAATATCACAAAAACTAAGCATTTTAGAAAAAAAATGTTTCAAATAAAGATTGTAGGGTTTGTATTTACTGTATTTATGAGTTTGACCTTGGGTGGCGTCATCAAAGTCCTGACTTGTCCTGATAAGGTCATCTTGAATTTTTTAAATGGGACCCGCTATTTTTTATTGCATATTCTGGTAGCCCTTCTTCAGATCTTTCCAAAGCGCTATAATTTTTTCAACTTTGAGTAAGCTGTTTCGAAGTTATCGAGCTTTTTATGATAAGATGCCCAGCCAGCAGCTGGAGCAATTTTGTAATTTGTATTTCAAACACATGTAATATTAAAAAAAGTAATACTAATGTACTAAATTTATAACAGCATTAAAATTCACCTTCGAATCATTTCAAATCAATTGCAATGAATTTGACTTGAAATAGAACACATTACTTGTACATGATACGCGTTGTTTCATACGGAAAAGATAAGTGATTTTTCTTACTGATTTTTCTTTCTTTAATTGAATTATCGATTTTGTTATCTAATTAATACAAATTTCTGTTTATTGGATAAATCTTTTTGTTTCCTAACTTATTCGTTTCCTAACTTATTCGTTAGACTTTACTTTTTCTTTTAGAGATTAACATTAATCTCAAACGCTTTTATAAGGTCTTGGATGGCTGGATACTTCTTTGATCTTGCCTTGGCTGGCTGGACATCTTATCATAAAAAGCTTGATAATTTCGAAACGGCTTACTCAAAGTAGAAAAAATTATAGTACTTTGGAAAGATCTGAAGAAGAGCTACAAGAATATGCAATAAAAAATAGGAAGTCCCATTAAAAAAATTCAAGGTGACCTTGTCCTGATCTTGGCGATGCCACCCAAGGTCAAACTCATAATGTCAGTAAATAGATCTTTTGAAACTTTACAATATATAGGATAGGCCAAATTTCAAACGTAACAGGTCGAATATCTCGAAAACTAGATGATATCGAGATTCGAATTTTTTATTGCATTGTTTCAATACATTTTGATAAAAAAAAATAATTTTGTGGAAGCGTCAAGATATTAGGTCTGTGCATAAGTTCCTGGGGTTTTTTTGGCTACTTAGTTTATGTATTAGGTGTACAAATGAATAATCCAAATTATTTTAAGCAGTTATGAAATCAATTTTAAATTTAATAGATTTTCCCGCTCTTTTGTGATTATGCAATGTTGACAAACAGCTATTAAAAAGAACATATAGTTTGGTGAAAGGCCTAACATAACCTTCAAAAGTATTCAGTTCAGTACAGTCGAAAATGGCAACAGATAAGGTACATATCCGACACTGCATTCTTTACGAATTCCAACAAGGAAAAAATGCTGCAAGAGCGTGCGAATCGATTTGTTCCTTTCTCGGAGAAGGTGTTGTATCGTACGATGTGTGCGCATTTTGGTTTAAACGGTTTAAAAGCGGTAATTTCAGTCTAATCGACAAACAACGCCCTGGAGGCCCTCCGAAGTGTGATAATGATGATTTGGAACAACTGCTCACTGAGAATTCGGCACAAACACAAAAAGAGCTTGCAGAACAGTTGAGAGTAACGCAGCAAACGATTTCCAAACGCCTACATGAGGTGGGAAAGATCCAGAAAGAAGGATGGGTTCCGCATGAACTCACTGAAACCAACAAAAATCAACGAGTGGCAGCGTGTTTTTCTCTCCTCAATAAGCAGCGTCAAAAGTCTTTCTTGTGGAAAATCGTTACGGGCGATGAGAAATGGATACTCTATGACAATCCGAAACGCAGAAAGTCATGGGTAAATCCCGGCGAATCATCAAAATCGGTTGCAAAACCCAATCGCTTCGGAAAGAAGGTTCTTCTCTGCATTTGGTGGGATATCAAGGGCGTGCTTTATTATGAGTTGTTGGAACCGGGTGAAATAGTCATTGCGGACTGCTACCAACGTCAATTAATCTGCTTGAGTCAAGAATTAGAACGAAAACGCCCGTATAGTGGCAAAGGAGAACGTCCAGTGAAATTGTTGCATGACAACGCCAGGCCACACATTGCTTCCAATACAAAAGACACCATAATGAATCTTGGCTGGGACGTCTTGCAGCACGGCCGGCGTATTCACCAGACATTGCTCCATCCGATTATCACTTGTTCCGATCGATGCAACACGCCTTGTCCGATATGCACTTCCAATCAGTGGATGAGATCCGAAGATGGCTTGACGACTTTATCGTGTCCAAAGACGTAACATTTCTCCGAGATGGAATTCATCAGCTGCCTGAAAGATGGCTTAAAGTTATAGAAAGCAACGGCGAATAATTTGATTGAATAATTTAATTTACTTTCTTTTAAAATAAACCTTGAATGTAGCTGCAAACATTGGATTATTCATTTGTACACCTAATAAATTGAAAATTTATTTAAATAAATATGAACTGTTATATGTAAGCTTGAATTCAGGTTAACCAACAACACTAATATAAAACATAATCTAGTTGAAAAGTGTTCCGAATTGGAAAATCATATCGGCGGATCTGTGTGCTCATTAACATCGTCCAGAGGATTCTCACGGAGCGTGTGCTGGAGGCTGGTAACATCGAGTCACCGCTCGGGCAAATCACCCATGTTTACAAGCAAATTATTTGCTCGATCTTTGTCTTGCCGATTGGTATTGTCTCGGCGCGTTACACTATATCATTGTGTCGGTGACAATAACACTCTTTCCATCAGAAGAAACTTGCGACAGTCTAATGTCTCGTGACTAACGGCAAAACAATGTATTTACCGCCAAGATCTTTGTGTCAGCCAAACAACGATTTGTACAAATCTGCCAATCGGCTTGAGCCGCATCAGAGATATAAAATTATAAATATCACAGTCGATATCGTGATGATAGAGTTCAGTAGAATTCAGCTTTCTAACTCAATTCTCTCGAGTTCCGCTCGGCTACCGTCGAATCTCTACAATGCGTCGCCCCGGCGCATGATTACTTTCGCCGTCTTGTTATTGATATGCGACTTCATTGTCTGCGATCTGCAAGCTGCTGTACCGGGTCAAAGCACAATAAAACGCATCGGAATCGGAGACTCGAACAAGTTATTGCCCAGAGCACCGATCGGTCCTCTCCTTTGGCTGACTCCCGTCGGCTCCAGCCGCACTCGCTCTCGCGCCCAAGATCTGGGTGATCCCGGCGTTCAACGGGTTAACGATTCGGATTCAACCCGCAACAAAAAGTTTGTATATTCATATGACAGCGCTATTCAAATATAATCCCAGGAATTTATGCACAGATTTAATAAAATAAAAATCAAAATTTTTTTAAACAGAACTAATTGATCACCTATGTTTGTAGCACTTGTCATGATGAATTCAATGGCACATACCCAAGATGATTAGAGGTTAAATAGGGTAACTTAGGATATGATGGCCATCACCACTGCCCGGCACGAGAGGACACGGTGCAGCACACCCTGGC